GCAGAAAGACGCAGGCGTTGCAGACGTAGGGCTTCTCCTCGCTGTGCTTCTTCAGGTGGGTCTTGAGGAGGAAGCGGGTCTTGAAGGCCTTGCCGCACTGCTCACAGATGAAGGAGCGGGCCTCCCGGTGCCGCGTCTCCTTGTGCACACGCAGGGCGTCCGCCCGGTTGGTGCGGTACTCGCACTCGTCGCAGCGGTATGGCTTCAGGCCTGCAGCGATGGGGAAGGGGCTGGGATGGGGGTACGGTGCCCTCCCTCCTGCGGGTCTCACTGTCCCTGTAATGGCATCACTCCCCAGGGACCCCCCTACATACCATCCTCGGGACTGGGAAGGCACAGCCTGCCAGCAGGCACCTCAAAACCCCAAATTTCCAAGGCACCATGCCTTGGCCCCTGGGGTCTGTACCGCCCCACCTTCCCTCCCGTCCTGGGGCACTTCCCTCCCGTACCAGCGCACAGGAACGTGCTGCCCCGCAACTGCTGGGGGTCCTCCCCCGCCTCCAGCTGGGCCACTGGTAGCAAAGAAGCACGGAGCTGGGGCCCATGCAGCCCCAAAGCCCTCCCCGGTGCTCCACAGCCCGTCCCTGGCGGGCAGCACTCACCCGTGTGCTTCGTCATGTGGTACTTGAGCTGGTTCACCCACTTGCACTTGTAGCCGCAGTCGGGACAGAGGTATTTCCGCTCCTCCTTGTGGATCCGCATGTGGTACTAGGCACAGGGCAAGAGGGCTGGGTCAGGATGAGGCCATGCCACCTGCCCTGGGAATGTTTAGGGCTCTGGGGTGTCAGCGAGGGGCTCAAAGTCAGCTCTGACATCTCAAACTGCATGGGGCAAGGAGGGCTGTCTGCTTGCCTGGCAGACTATGGGCAGGGGGGATCCACAGCGGGGTCAGGATGAGACCCCCATACTGCTGAGCTTGCCCTGTCCCAGCCTGTGGAGGGGCACAGGCTTTTCTCCCCACTTAGGTATTTAGGGCAAAGCCCAGGTTAAAACCTAGCCCAGCAGAGCTAGCCCTGAGCTGAGCACATTGCGCAGCCTTGCCCAGGCGGCCCCAGAGGGCTCCAGCTCACCCTGGCCATTAAAAAAGTCAATATTTCTTTTAGCAAAACCAGACCATTTTCCCCTCCATTACCCCACGCCTGGCCCTCCTGTTCTAGGAAAGGCCCTTTACCATGCATGAGGATGCTGATCACCTACAGAAATGAGGGCAGGGTCTGGCTCTGCTTGCAGGGAAGCTGAGCTTTCCCTGCACCGTGTCTGACTGGTGCCACAGGGCTGGCTGCACCCAGAGGATGCTAGAGATGTCAGTGGGAAGAGGAGTGAACCTGGACAGCTGCCCACCTTCTTGCTTTGCTACAAATCCCTCTTCCCCTTCATCTGCAACAGCAGGGAGAAGGGTTTAGGACAGAAACATATTGTACCCACGTGAGTTTTACCTGCTCACCTCCTATTCCTGGAGGAGCCACAGAGAAGAGGAGAGAGAGGACAAAACTTTCCCTTGGGAGTTTCTTCTTCTTCCCCAAATCCCCGTATCTGGGATGCCCCCCAACCCACATAGATGCAGTAGGCTATATTTCCCATCCCCAAGCAGGGCTCTCACCTTGAGACGCGAGGGGTCGGCGCAGGCGTATTTACAGAGGTGGCACTTGTAGGGCTTCTCGCCAGTGTGGATGCGGATGTGCCACGTGATCTTCTGCCTGTTCTTGGTGGTGTACTCGCAGTCCGAGCACTTGTACACGCGGGTGCCCCCATGGCCCTTCATATGCTGATCGAAGACGAGCTGGTGGCGGCAAGCAAAATCGCAGAAGGGGCACCGCAGGGGTTTGTCCTGGGGGGCATCCGGCTCGTGGCTCTCCACGTAATGCCACACCAGCTGCTGCCGTTCCTTGGCTGCAAAGCTGCACAGCTCACAGCGGGGGCTGGAATGCTGCGTC